TGGCGGCCCGGGTTCGGATCCCAGGCGAGCACCGACACACCGCTTCTCCGGCCATGCTGAGGCCGCGTCCCACATACAGCAACTAGAATGGATGTGCAACTACAACATACAACTATCTACCGGGGCTTTGGGGGAAAAATAAATAAATAAAATCTTTAAAAAAAAGAAAAAAAAGAACAATTAGTGCCCCATTTTGAAAACAAAACTTGTTAAGAGCATTGGCTTCTTCTCCCGCCAGGCTCTCTGACAGGGATGGGTGCTTCCTGCGTCAGAAGTTATTTTATTTTCGTTTGGGATGTGCAGTTAGTCCTCAGATCTTCTGTCTGTTTTCTAATTAGACAGCAGTTGGAATCACCTGCAGATCCCCAGGCATGTCCTGAAAACTCACCGGTGCTGGAGGCTGTGCCAGGGGTATGTACACATAGCATCCTGTCACCCACACCCTACCCGGGCGCAGGCACCTTCCTGGGGTTTTCCCGCTCCAGGTGAGGAAGCAGGCTGACAAGGGCCCTCGCACGGTCTGAGGCTGGCAGTTTGTGGAGCTGACAATGAGCCAAGGCCCCGGGGGGAGAGAGAGACACCCACACACACACCAGCTGAGCACCCCCGCCCCCCCCCCAACAGAGAGTCCTAACATCACATCGCCCAGCACGGGTTCCACAACTGTCAGAGTAAACTGACTCAGAACTCACGCGTCTGCCCCGGGGTCCGTGGAACCACACTTCGAGGATGGCTTCGTCTTTGTCCCCTGCCTGGAAAATAGTAACCCTTATGTCATAAACATGGGCCCGTTTTCCCTTTGTCTCATTTTTATGCATTTTATATCCCATTTGAACAATAATAACAGAAGACTTTCTCACTGACAAAGTATTAGTAAAAGTGAAAAATATATTATTTTGGAAGGTATCTTAATCCGTATTATTGATCCTGATTTAATTTAGATTCTATACAAGGGCATTTGGCAGAATATTGTTTTGAGTACTCATACTCCTTCATGACACTGGTGGATGAATAGTCATCTTGAAGTTTTATTAAGTCTTGTAGGAGGAGGCCTGGGAAATGTCGGTGATCCTGAAAGGCGAGGAAATGTAATTGCAATATTTCCTCACCTTTGTTGTGGAGGATGGCACGCCAAGTCTGTCTGTTATTGGAGTTTGTGCCTCGGACACAGACTGCTTACAGAGCACAGTGGGCTTTAAATTGTTAAACTCGGACAAAAGAGGAAAAGCAAAAACACCTCTTTAGTAAAGATCAGGTGAGACTCAACACAGCCCAGAATCGTGGTCTTAGGCCAGAGGGGTGCAAACATCGGCCAGAGAGCAGAACTTGACTAGAAGAGGAGAGAGGGGGCCGTGGCAGTGGGCGGAGCCGAGACAGCAGAGCGCCTCCAGTTCTAAGGAGAATGAGACCTACGGCAGGTTGTTTGAACATCAGGAATGATTTTAAATGATTCACATAAACTTCATTTTTCTCCTCTTACAGTCTGACTTTTAGTGACATCAGAGTACATTTACATTATCAAAGGAAAAAAATATAACTGCATTTAATTTTAGGAGTTAAAAAAAAATTACCCTCAGAACACAAACCAGACTCTCAGAATCTCCGTGTTGAGGTCTCTGTGTGTACATATGATTCTAGCAGCTCATGCCTTTTATAGTCATCGAGTTACTGATACTGCCCAAGACCTAATATCTGTATTCTCAGCCTACATTGTGTCTTTATGGCTATCTTCTTCCTTTAGGAAGCTCAGCCTGTCACAGAAGTCTCTATAAAATCCTAAACACTCGGTAAAAGTGCTGTGTTTATTCTTCCGTCCCTGTGGACAATTTATGGGAAGTGACTCTTAAATCCTCGGATTTACTGACCATCTCTAGCGACTATACATCCGTCAATTCCTTGTCTGTACTCTGCGACGGCAAGGCCATTTGATTGTCTACCCGGACACATAAAAAGTAGAGTAGGCTCTTTAAAAACCGGCATAAGACTGGAAGATTATGCCAGTCTTTATTATTATTATTATGATTAGTAGTAGTGGTGTTTTGCTTTTTTCAGAGTTTGAGACAGGAGAACCGACAGTGAGTAGTTCTTATTGCATCCATCCTGGTTCCCAGCACGCCCTTTAAATGTTGCTTGTGCATCCGGGATGTCAATGCAGAGCAGACACTGTGGGACACTGGTCGAGGAGGGAGAGCTCGTCCCAGCTCTGACTCGAGCGAGGTTGAAACCCGTGTGAAGAATTTGCCTTTGTTTTTGTCTCGTGTGTGGAACGGGGCAGTGATACCTCTGGCCTCGCCCCCTTGCAGCCTCCTTCCGAGCACGCGTGAGACCTCTGGGGGCAGCCCTCAGTGACCAGCCACGGGCTCCAGGGCCGTGCTCGTCCGTGAGCGGGATCCACAAACGCCATCAGACAAAGAGCAGGGTGGTTGCCATGGGTTCGCCTGGGAGGAGCGTTTCTCCGCTCAGGGAGAGGCCCCGAGACACATGGCGAGTGCTCCAGACAGAAAGTCTTCACTCCCAGAGGCGGTTCCGGCACCACCTGTGACCACGCTGGACAAGCGTGCGCTGGACAACACTGCAGGTTTATCGCCAGGGATGGGGGTACACGAGCCACACATGGGGACGTAGCCAAGTCAAGAAGAGAGAAGTCATCGAGTGAAATGCACAGTAAGGCTGTGTGCAGCTCTTAGCAGTTTACGACCCTGCCACAAAACTAACACAATGTATGTTTTAGAAGACAGTACTACACTTAAGTTAAAAAAGAAGAATCCACACTGTAAATTCGAGTCTCCGATCGAATCCCCGAACCTCTCATCATAACAGCATCCAGCCTCACTGTCTTTTCTCTATCATTAATTTCAAAG